AGTTCCTTACTGTTGTGCAAACACTTGGCTTCCTTTATCATTGAATATGTTCAGGACATGCAAAGAACTAAATTAATTCCTTGTTATCCGCATTCTTAAGTTACAGAAACTTCTGCAGCTTCAGGGGCACCATCGGAGACACGTACAAGGACAAAGATGTCTGAAAGCTGGTTGCTTTCAGATATTTATTCATAAAATTCTATGCTGCAGTAGCATTTAGAATGGCTCTGCAGGTGGGCACCTCATCAGACAATAATTATTCCTCACTCCACAACAGCTTTGGGTGAGAGATCTGGACTTAATTGCAAACTGAAAAGAAAAGCTGCATGCTATGCACTTAAGCACCACTTTGCACCATAGGTATCATAAGAAACAGAAAGTCATCAAATGTTTATTTTCATCAGATCTCTGCTTTTTCCTCTCTCACTTACCTTCTGCTCCTAAATCAGTTCAACCAGAACTATACAAAAGCAAAGCAAGTCATCTTTTCTAAACATTATACTCAGCAACACAAACAGTCCTTGAAACAACCCAAACCAATGATCAACTACAAGGGTCTTTGATCTTTCAAACTCTAACAGATTGTGTCATTATTTCCCTCCCCACCTTTTGACTCCTTACTTCCCAAAATGTTTATTTTTTTTTTTTTTTATTGTTTCAAACTACTTTTGATGCCCAAAATCTAGCCCATACCTCTGACATCAAACATATTTGCCAACTATAAGAACACAGGGTGTGTGTGGGTGACTTAAGGCGGCTCTTAGGTATGAAGTTAGTTTGGGGATATTGTACACCCTGCTGATTATCAAGAACAATTTCCAAAGGGATAGGTGCAGAAAAAAAAAATAAAAAAGCCTTTAAAAAGCTGTCTGCCCCTGTGATTTTCAGCTCTTTGAAAAAGCAAGAAAGAACAGAAAAGCACCCCTGGTGTGTGGTTAAGATAACTACAAAGGAACTATTCTTACCAGGTTCCTTCAGTGAAATGAAGGGTGCTTTGATTGCATTTTTTGGCCCTGCTAATCTGACAGAAATTGATGGATAATTTGGAACAGACAAAATCTTTGTTCTATAAACATTGACTCATACATGTTACATCCAGATGTTTTACTGGGTTCTTAATAGATATCAAAGCTTTCTTTAAATACTTGGAAATTGCATTTTATACAGTTAAGTGTGGATATATGCAGGGGAGGGAAAGGACAGGAGAGGAGCTCCATTACAAGCAGCTTAAAAAGGAGTATTTATGCCCCCCAACATGGACAATCTAAATACAACAAAGCCCAACACTTTGTTTCTGCCTAATCAAGTTTAAAAATTAATAGCACCAAGATTCTTAATGAGCAATTAGGGCCTTGCAGGCTGGTCTCTCCAACAGGCACAGGAGCTTGTGGGTAAACACTCTGGTGCTGACTTCCCCACCACCCCCTGTCTCACAGCCCAGGTGGCAGCAGCAGCCCAGCCTGCTGGGACCAGCCAGTTCCCATCTGGTTGCCAAGGCAGAGACATCCCTGTGACTTCTGACAGCTGGCCCTTCATCTCTTCCAGAGGTAAATGGCTTCAGTCTCTCTCCTCCACTAGCATCCAAGAAAGGAAGAAATCATTTGTCTGAGAGTAAGTGGGGGAGGGACCCCCACCACATAAGTAGTTTTTATGAGTAGGAGATGAAGAATGAGAAAGCAAGCAATGCACACAGCGTGGCTCTCAGCAGTGCTCTTCCCTCTGACAGTGCCTGAACCACTACCACTGGAGAGCAGTTGAACAGATAAGACGCATGACTGCCTAAAAAGAAAAAGCCAACTGCAAGTGGGAAATAAAGATGTGCAGATAAATCAGATGCAGAAGAACAAGAACAGAGGTAGCAGGTTGCAGCACGGGTTTGGGAAATGCGATGCTCTGCAACTTGCAGAATTTCCAAGTCACTCAAAATTCTTGCCCCAGCCTGATTTTCACCAGCTCCTGATGGATGAAGCTTTATATACTGGCTATTCTGCCTTACAGTCATTGCTGGATAAACTCAGTAATGAAGGTATTGATCCCTTTATAAGATAAATAGGCAATCAGTACATATACGGTTTCATCCCAAGACGAGCAATAGTCTTCAACTTTATAGGTCTTTTAGTAGAGAACCCTTCTAGAAGCAAAACAAACAGACAAATTGCAATGCATACAAAATGTGACAAGTATTAAGCATAGACAGGATTTCTGATCTGCCAGGAGTCAGAAATGAAGATCTGCTGCTGAAGTGCTGCTTTTCCTCCCAAGCATGTCAGTGGAATCAGTCAGTCACTGACAGAAGCAGGTATGAGGCATTGTAACAGAGAAAAGGATCTCCTGGGCAAGTAGGATAAGGCCATTCCTTTGTACCTGTTTGCAATAGTGTAAAGAGTTTGGTAACTATTAAGGTCAGGAAACTTCCAAATTCAGATTTGGACAGTTCACTGGTGAGAAAGCCACTCAGCCAAAATGCTGTCTGCTCTTGTGGTTTAGACCAGCGTAGTCTGGAAACAAACAAAAAAAAGCATTAGGATTGCGAGTGCCAGCCTTACCGTGGCTGGTAGGGGCCCAAAGCATATCTGAGGGTTATTTAACAAGTAAGGGTAATGGAGGCCCTGTCTCTCTCCCAGCACAAAGGCAGCCCCAGGAACACAGGATCATAGAATGTTTGGGTTGGAAGGGAACTTTAAAGTCCCCCTAGGCCACACCCCCTTCAGTGGGCAGGGACATCTTCAACTAGATCAGGTTGCTCAGAGCCCCGTCCAGCCTGACCTTGAATGTTTCCAGGGATGGGGCTTCTCCCACCTCTCTGGCAACCTGTGCCAGTGTCTCACCACCCTCGACATAAAAAATGTCATCCTTATATCTAGTCTAAATCCATGGTTTTAGTTTAAATCCTTTACCCTTTGCCATATCACTACAAGCCCTGTTAAAAAGTCTGCCCCCATCTTTCTTATAGGCCCCCTTCAAGTATTGAAAAGCCACAATAAGGTCTCCCTGGAGCCTTCTCTTTTCCAGGTTGAACAGCCCCAACTCTCTCAGCCTGTCCTCATAGAAGAGGTGTCCCATCGCTCTGATAATTTTTCTTGTGGTCCTCCTCTGGACCTGCTCCAACAGATCCACAGTCTTTCCTGTGCTGAGGACTCCAGAACTGGACGCAGTACTCCAGGTGGGGTCTCATCAGAGAGGAGCAGGGGGGCAGAATCCCCTCCCTCGACCTGCTGGCCACGCTTCTCTTGATGCAGCCCAGGATATGGTTGGCCTGCTGGGCTGCAAGCGCACATTGCCGGCTCACATCCAGCTTTTCATCCACCAGTACCCCCAAGCCCTTCTCCACAGGGCTGCTCTCAAAGCCTTCATCCCTCAGCCTGTATTGATACCAGGGGTTGCCCCAACCCAGGTGCAGGACCTTGTACTTGGCGTTTTTGAACCTCATGAGGTTCACATGGGCCCACTTCTCAAGCTTGTCCAGGTCCCTCTGGATGGCATCTCATCCCTCGGGCATGTCAACCACACCACCCAGCTTGGTATAATCTGCAAACTTGCTCAGGGTGCACTTGATCCCACTGTGTCATTGATGAAGATACTAAACAGTACTGGTCCCAGTATGGACCCTTGAGGGACCAGTCACCAGTCTTGATCTGGACATTGAGCCATCGATCACTACCCTCTGGATGTGACCATCCAGCCAATTCCTCATCTACCAAACAGTCCAAACATCAAATACATATCTCTCCAATTTCCATATCTCAAATCTCCATATCTCCAGCAGTAGCTGGGATCTCAACAGACTGCAGCTTACATCAAAATTAAATTCCCCTTCCAATCTCAGATGTCTTTTCCACGTCATGTAGAACATAATTATGCAGTTTCACAGGACTTGGTTTTGGGAATCCAAATACAGCAGCACAAGCCTACTTCCCACACCATGGATTCACATCCCTCCCAAAGTTTCATGCTATGCCGAAGGAGACAGAGTAACTACCCTCAGCACCCACTGTCAGCAGCCACACAGCGCAAAGCAGCCTTTCCTCCCGAGGCTGGGCTCACACAGGTGGGAATGCAAGATCCAGGAGCATTTTCATAAACCATGTGAGATGCAGCACAGGAACAGAGGTCCCTCTGGGCTGATTAGCCAGCAGAGCTGAAATTCTCTCGAGTTTTTGAAGGAAGTTTGAATCATTTACATAGCAGCAAAGACAACAGCTGTGCCTGTAAAGACAGATTCTAAAAAAAAAAAAAAAAAGAAAAAAAAGAAAAAAGAGAAGGAACTACTAAAAACAATACTCTTTAAAAGACCTTTATTTAGGTTACACAGTTACAATTCTGAAGTTCATTTATGCTTACAGTTAGATTGTTCCCAAATTATATTTCATAGCTCACCATGTAAACAGTGCATTCTCTACCAATCTAGTGTACAATAACTTTATAAAATACAGATTAAGTGACTTTTTCATCTGTACACTTTTCATATTAGTTCATCAAGATCAATTAAAAAGGCAAATCGATTAATTGGCAAAAAAGTGCTGTTACATTTTTAATATATTAGTACAAAATGGCACAAAGGGAAAAAGGTCATTTTAAAGGCTATAAGCAAACACCTTAAACAGTTTGAATCAGTTCAGCCGATTTCAACTTAATTTCAAATACCACTGTTGAACTTGGAATTGAGCTTATAATCTTCTTTTCTTCAGCTGTATGAAAGACCTCACATACAACTTTGTATCTGTCCATGGAAACCGAATCACAGCAGTTTCAGAACACTGATATTCACGTGCAGTTAGGAAGTTGGGAATTTCTCCCAGTAAATCTAAGAATTCACAGACTAGAGCTTATTTTCATCCAGCCAAGCTCCTTGATGCACACTTCAGGTGCAAAGATACTGGACGTGTGCACATAAAACACACTATTTCTTAGTGCAAGAACTGAATCAAAAAAATCTACACAATTACATCATCCACCCTACCTACCTTTGCAGGAGGCTTCCAGGCATAACCACACTCAGCGCCAGATACAGAGATATATGAAGCATCTAAAAAGATTTCAGGCAAACTGAAAGCTTAATTCAAAGGCTTCAGCTATGAAAGAGAGATCACACCAACTTCAGCAACCTGCATTTTATTTTTGAACCACCCATATCAAATGGGCAGGTGAGTGGTAAGAGACAGACATTTCCAACTTAAAAATAAATTCTGAGATGTGAATTCATTGCCTCAAGCAACAACTCGGGAGTTTGTTTTGGTAGCAAAATTTAGCAATATCTGAAAACATAATTACCTCCCCTGTCAAAAGAAATTATCAGGATTTTGATTAGCCTCCTAAACCTCAAGAGGTTTTTATGTTTAAGTTAACGGAACAGGTTATGACCTTGACTGTTCTTTTCTAGTAAGACAGCACCCACATCCAAGAGGGCAGGCAGTTACACTGTCAGTAGTGCTGAGAACGATACTTCTCAGGTTAAAACAAAGAGTCTTATAAAAAAGTAAGTGTGATGAAGTACAGAACCATTATTTTACTCAGCTTCAAAATGAGCAAACCATGATTAGGAATTTCCTTTCATAATTTAAATACCAATTACAACACTTTCTCCAGAGACTTATCTTGCAGCTAACCATATGATGATTCCAAGAAGCAATACTCCAACAGCAAGTACAATAATGAGGATGCACATCTTCTTTCGGGACCTTTGCTGCCAATAGAGAAAAAAACAAGTTGATTGAAAACTGCACCACCACATCAGATGACTACTCAAATGCTTTTATGGTCCTATTGCTTGTGCAATCTAACTAAATTGTGTCCTTACTAACAAATCATATGAAGTTATTCACAAAAACAAAAAAACAGCAAAAACAAAAAGCCAAGTTACCCATGGCTTAATTCTAGGGCTATAGTATTAATAGAATAATTTCAGTGGTATTTTCTGGCATACATAATAAACTAATTAAAGAGAATGCAGTAATGTAATGAATGGATGTAATTAAAACACCGGGGGAAAGAAAATGTGAGAGAGCAGGTGACTGTGTACAGAGGAAAATGGACAATCAGTCTGCACAGTACGGGAAGTAGAAATGGTCTGCCAGAAAAAAAAATAAAATTAAAGACTATTAATGTAAATACAGAAGGGGACAAAGGACTGCAATTTTAGACTTCTGGAAGATTGACTTTGCATCTATTCACAGAGTTATTTTAAAGTTGTTTTTGTCAAGTTTCTTAGGTACAACCTTCTCTTAAAAAAAAAAAAAAAAAAAAAAGGGGAGGGGGGAAAAAAAGGAAAAAAAAGAGAGACACCTGACTAGAGATCCAGTTATACAGATGTCGGTACAAAAAAGTGTAAGTTATAAGCATGTCCAGAACTTTCATATCTCCCATACAGGTCTGTAACTTGAGACACTAGAGCATGCAAAACTAGCAGCAGTCTGTCATGCTTTATCTGCAGGATATGGAATCTGAACATTTCCTTCACACCAGGAAAGGAAATCACCAGTGGGTTTCACAGGTTTTTCCTGATAGCCAAGGGACAATAACACTCAAATCTCAGGATTCTAGGCCACAGCTCCAGAAGCAAAACCAGACTTTGCTCTATTTGGCAAAGGTTTTTCTGCCTGGGCGTGTTTGTTTTTTTTTCCCCCTGCAGAACTACATCTATGTCAGTTCTTCATTGGAGCTGACAGTTCTCTGCCCAGTACCACAGTACCACTCACACTACCAAGTTTCTTGTCTTAACTATTCTCTTCTCCTACTTTTAGAATCATAGAATGGTCTGGGTTGGAAGGGACCTTAAAGATCATCTGATTCCAACCCCCCTGCCATCAGCAGGGACACCTTCCACTAGACCAGGCTGCTCAAAGCCTCATTCAGCCTGGCTGAACACTTCCAGGGAGGGGGCAACCACAACTTCTCTGGGCAACCTGTTCCAGTGTCTCACCACCCTTACAGTCAAGAATTTCTTCCTAATATCTAATCTAAACCTCCCCTCTTCAGTTTAAAGCCATTACCCCTCGTTCTGTCACTATCTCCCCTTGTAACAAGTCCCTCCCCAGCTTTCTTGTAGGCCCCTTCAGGTACTGGAAGGCCGCTATAAGATCTCCCCGGAGCCTTCTCTTCTCGAGGCTGAACAGCCCCAACTCTCCCAGCCTGTCCTCATAGTAGAGGTGCTCCAGCCCTTGGATCATCCTCGTGGTCCTCCTCTGGACTTGCTCCAGTAGGTCCATGTCCTTCTTACTTTGGGGGCCCCAGAACTGGATGCAGTGCTCCAGGTGGGGTCTCACAACAGTATCGCAGTGTCACTTCTCTGCTCCCATTGTCAGATTAAGATTTCTTCATTTCATCATTTTACTTGCTAGAACTCAATCCATTTGCTGAAGTATCTTCCTTGTAATTTAATCTGTGTTGTGGCCAGATACTCTCTTTATACTCCCAGCTTCTTCCTTTTTCATCCCAGCAACCACTTCTTGCCAGCATTGCACTGAAGTAAAAATATTTTCCCTGTAACACTACTTAAGCAAGCTAGTAGACTAAAGACATGGAGAATTTAATTCCTCATACACTTGATGACCATTTCTACAAGCGCTGAAGCAGCAGTGGTAAAGGGAGAAAGAAAGGAGAGGAGCCTGGCTTTACCCAAACAGCTCTGCTGTGTGAAGGCACCCCACATGGCAGATGAGTGGTGCGTACCTCATTGAACCACAAACAGGAGCTGTGAAGGTACCAACCACGTGCAGCCTTGTCCCCGCCAGCTCGCCTGGGCCTCTAACACTTCCTTGAGGGGGTCAGGGCATACAGATATAATAGCTGCTGAAATTAAAATAAGTCTGCTGAAAGTGGAAATGATTTTTCAGTATCTTGGAACAAGGATGAATTTTCAAGCAAAGGAAAGCTCAAATACAAAGCAAACTACTCAATCCTTTCAAACACAGGACAACTCTGCCAAGTGTTTGGTCTCAGAGCCACTGAACAGAAGCTTGTCAGAAGTCCTGATAACCTTCCTTTGAGATCAGAAGATATTCATCCTTTCCACCTCAAGATAAAGCATTAAGTTTTTAATTTTTAATTTCAGCCAGTAAACTAACACCTTCTACAGAAAATTTTGGCTGCTACTATTTTTTTTCCCTGAACTTTGTCAGTATCAAGATAGGACCCATTAACCACACTTAGTGTGCCAGTTAGTGCCACCTAGAATACAGCTCAAGGACGCATACCTCCCTTTCCCTCTCCCACTTCTGAAATCAGCAGACAATCCTTCAGACATTTTGTCATTGATTTACTGTCCTGGCTACTACTAACACACATAAGAGGATTAAAAAAAAAAAAAAAGTCTAGGGACTGACTTTGACTTAAGAGGGAAGATTTATTACTAATAAGATTACTTCTAGTAAGTTACAAAAATGTTATAAAGAAGTGGCATTTAAAGGTATTTAAAAGGCTCTTCAGAAAAGTTTGAGAATTTTAAATATGTTTTTAGCATTAGGGCAGCAATTAACAGAAGCTGGATATATACAGCTTTGAGAAGATTTTAAACAGCAAAAATTGGTGCTAACTGGCAGCGTCTTAAGACTTCCCTGCTTATCTTCCCTACTCCTCCAGTGATCTTTAGCAGCTTGCTCTCCATACACAGGAATTTTTTACTTCTTGAGCTGTAAAAGGAAGAGTGAGTTTGTTTGTTTGTTTTTTAAATAAAGGTGTAACTCCAGGTGCTCTGAAACAGCCTGGCTAATTTTACAGGACACCCAAAGCATTCAGAGGTCACTGACTTTTGTTTTACAGTGACCTAGAAATACTATCATAGTCTAACATAAACCTTTAATTAATTCTCTAAGCCTTGAGGAAATTGATAAGCAAATTCTGAACCGCATAAGGAAGTAGAAGTCAAGACTACTGAGAAAGGACAGCTACACACAACTGGCAGTTGGCATTGACATTACCTGGTAGTTTGCTGCTCTTGACAGCTGCTGGTTTGCTTGCTGCACGTGTACATCTGCATTTTCCACATTGGCTTCTATGCTGTCTTTATTTTAAAATAAAACATTTCAAATTTTGGTTAATCATAACCCAAAGTTTTGGAATGCTGAAATACACTTGAGAGCATATGTCATAGCTACCCTTCAACTGCTGGTGTCTTCATCAATACCCAGAGTTCTATACCTTGCATTATGGAAGTTTGATCCATTCTATACTTATGTATGAGTTTATTTCTGAACCACCCAGGCAATGAGTAGCTGAATTCATGTCAGTAACAGCTCCTCTGCTCTAGAAGCAGGAACCTTTTATACCAATCAAGGTAGAAACTTTCAGTAGATTTTGGGGGCTTTTTGTTTGGTTTGGTTTTTTTGTATGTTTTGTTTTTTACTTGTCCTCCAACTTGCTACTGACTACTCTCTGCTCAGACTAAAAGTGTCCTAGGGCCTATGAAATCAGAGGAAACACACACAAAACACCCCAAGAGGCATGCCTCTTGTTTGGTAAGTAATCACACTGATACAGATTTTTTTTTTCCTGGAAAAATATGAACAGATTGCAGGCTAATGTAACAGAAAAACAGAAAAAGCCCTGCAAATGTATGCATAGACAACAGCATGCCTTAGCAGTAGACTCAAAAATGTATTTTCTAATCACATTTCATTAAAAGAATAAATCTGTTCACATGGAGGGCACTGCGGGAACCTTTGCTAAATCTGCACACTTATATCACTAGTCAATACAGTGACTCACACAAACTCCAATTTTATGTATAAACAGTTCAAAAATTACTTTTAAAGACATTTTATACACATTTAAAACTATATAATGTTTTAAACTACATTTTAAACACACTTTCTAAATATATTCCCAGTCTACCCGTTATTAGGTTGCATCTGATTTTCTTTAGCGTTGATACTGTCATTAGAGGAATTCTTCCAGTAACAGGAAGTTCTACACTGCTGATCTCCAGAGAGAGTAAGAAATTTTCAGAAAATATTTGAATTGGACTTACCTATCACATCACCTTGTTCATGAATCATCATCCCTAGATCTTTAAAAATTTCATTGATGTCCATAATATCTGCCTGTAAGGAAACAATCATCACATTAATTGACATAACATATGGTAGCATCCCTGCACATTTAGACACAAATATTGCTCCTTCTCCTCCCACGTATGCATCCATGTCTCTTTACACTACAGGATAAAAAAACCTTAATATGTTTATTTGGAAGGCTTTTTTGGTACTACGAGATCAAGCTTATAATAGAACTAATGGAAGATGAGTATGTGCACAAAGTACACTTCACATCACAAACAGGATCTCTCATTGCTGAGGGCTTGTCTACACACATACTTGTATTAGTTAAACTGAAGGGAAAGGCTCATGCCCACTTTGCTTAAAAGCTACCTGTTTAAGCCAAATTAATAAAAGCATGTGCATAAACTAATTTGCATTAGTTTTAGTAAACCTATTAAATTAAACACATACAAGTTTCACAAGCAAGCACATTTTACAGAGATTACCTCTATAATGTGGCCAGGCTATTGAATATATATTACATTATCCTATTACCACCTGGTTATGAGGAAGTGATCGATGCCATGTTACCACTGAGCATATCATCTCTTCTTAACTAATGACGGGATCAATTCAGCGTATGTTAATGTATGGGTGCCAAGGGAGAGATGACTGAAATTTGTACATAGAAGGGATTTTGCCATAAGCATCAGCAAGACTTCCTGGCAAACTCCAGTTCCAGCACCTTTGTTGATATTACAGATGTGGACTCCAGACTGGCTGGAAAAATTCATTTTGTCTTCACAGAAGTCTTTTGATGTCAGCATTTCATCACATGTGACAATTTTTTTTGTGTAGTTTACATCTTGTTTTTAAGTATTTTTAACTTTTTGACAAGTCCTTAATTACAAAAGTTTGAATGAAACAGAGTATCTCTATTTCCAGAAGTGTTCAAAAAAGACACAAAATGAAGATAGACGTTGAACAATACATTGGGAATACCTGTGAGGAAAGGTATAATTTTGCTTAATTTATAGTCACTGTTAAAAAAAGTGATATAATATGGCCACTATGTTGGAAAAAAATTATATGTATTTTCTCTTGCAATCACACCAGTACTCGCTTATTTCATAACTAAACCACTGAAGTTAGACACAGTATCAAAACATGGCTTTCATACAATAGATTTCTAATGCACATTTCACATCTAACGGTAATATTTGTAGTCTTAAAGGAAAAAAATCACACCCACAAACAAACCCTAACCCTTCAAGATTAATGTCTGCAATTAATGCTCATGCCACTATAAAATGTTTTCTCTTTGGAAGCATTAAAAGCATATTCTACTGTAAAACCACTTGCACTTACTTCAAGCTGCCTAATGGAAGATTCCCTCTCCTCAATAAGACGGAGGTCATCTTCTGTAATTTCTTCATCTTGCACTTGTGCTTGTGGTTGACTATCAAACAAAAAAACCCCACCCAGAATTAACAGGCACAATGAGAAATAACTCAGAAGAATAAAATGACAGTTAAATACATAGCACACACTTTACATTATCAATTAACAAAATGCAAGTTTTTACCCTTGCCTGTCTAGCTAACAGGGAAGGTCTAACAGTCACACCTTTGGCATAGGAAGTTGCTGCTGTAGCAACGTTGCACATACCATGGAGCTAGCTGATTGGAAATTCCAAGTATGAATGGTAAAGTTTCTTCTGAATTATAAACTGCAGAGTTTATATCCATCTGAGGCAAAAGCAAGATAGCCAACAAAACAGAACCTGAGATTGAGAAGCAGCTCTTGGAGAGTATAAAAGTAATGGGAGATCCCAGTAAACACTGGATCCTTATCACAGAACAGTTTTACTCTATGCACAGGTTGGACTCTACTTAACCTAAGCCTGGATCTCAGAAAGCCCAAATACAGACTTAGGGCAGCTTAAGGAAATGACTAAAGCCAAAGCACGGGGAAAGAAGGGGGAGATGATGTGAACTGCTCCTTTTTCTTCCCACGTATCCCACTAAACACTTGCGGTATGGAAGAAAGTCAAACTGAACAACGTATCCCAACTCCCTCCAGAAGAAGGCAATTGATCAGGGAAAAAAAAAAATTACATATATATATATATATATATATAGGCAGCTGGCTTCCCTGACAGCTATTTATTATTCTGAACTAGGTTAAGACTTATTAACAAATTCAGCCTACCTGTCCCAAGAGACAAGCGTTCCTTCTTTGTAGGTGTCTTCAGGAGCACCACCCTACATGATCAGCGTTTAAAAATATAAATAAAACATTATGGCCCTGAAAGGAGCACTGTCAGCATTTCTATAAGTCAATATTACAAGTTTTATAGCAAGTCAACTTCAAACTGAAACATGAGTTAACATATTCTCATCCTGGTTTTGCTTTATACATGCATGAAGCTGAAATACAAGCAAAAACATTCAGCTCAGTAACTGCCTGCTGAAACTTACAAGTACAGCAACGTGTATTTGGCACAGAGTGAAGGACAAAATTGATATGCTAACAAGTAAAAGCCCAACATCTCAAGCTTCTCAGCACTTCTCTACTTTACTACTGCATAGAAATCTGGCATGTGATTCTTCTCTGTAGGAAAAATCTGCTGATATCTAAGGGCCCAGCAAAAGCATTTAAAAGTCTACTGAAAATTGCTTTTGCAAGATTACGGCATGAACCCAGGGGCAGTTCATGCCTTTGTGTGACAAAAGTAAGGGAAAAAAGAAACAGTTTGAGGCTGGGGGGCGTTACAACTTAATTCAGCCTTTAAAACTTTCTGCATAATTCAGCTATGCATAAAAAGGAGCAAAGAAAACTTATAATAATGTACTTTTAATTATAAAGCACATGTTCTGCAATATTTGCAGTTAGATATGAGCTTTTGTAAGCAGCATTATGGAGGAAATTTTGACATTGAACACCACCAACACAATTGTAAACAGAGTATAATGGCACATTTTCCAATACTTACAGATACTCTTGAGCTGGCTCTTACTCTGGCTACAAAGTCTTTTTCTTTCTCAGCAGCTTGCCTTTGGAGTCTTTGGAAATTTGTTAGTGCTGTGGTGAACTCCCCCACAAGACGGTCTTTCTGTATTTTTCTTTGACGCTATAGGAGAAAAAGTTTTACCAAGTCAAATGAGCTCAGGCTTTTCAAGGCTCTGCCACTCCCAGGCTGCTCAATGCTAAGGGATATACTCTTTTTTTTTTTTTTTTCTAAATAGGTGTAAGGGAAAGCTGTCTACAAAACCATTTGCAACTGCATGGACAAACCTTCCTTCCCTCTGGGATCACATAACTGGACAATTTAAGACATTTAAAGAGCAAACCAATATATTTAGTTTCATTTAACATTTGTAAATGAGAAATGGGCAGGGACAAGAAAGCTTCTACTTTCTTTATTATCTGTTGATTCTAAAACCTACTGTTTAAGTGTGAACTAATTTTATACTGTGGATGCTAAAATATGCAAAGGTGATGGAATGGGGGGAAGGGTGCAGAAAAGAAAGAACAGGGCACTTCACATGTATTTTGCATAAATGCTGGAAATACATATTGAGCTGCATCTAGAAGTGGGTTGACATCCCCTCTTAAAATGCTTAAGAACTGGTAGGGGAGAGAAGAGGAATACTGGGCACTCAGGAAAGCCTGCACCATACTTCCCTAAATGTATACATTACATCAACCCTTCCTTCCAAATCCCTGAGAGGCCATAATTTGCCATTCATCAATCTGTTACTTATGCATTTCATTGTGAGGTAGCTTTGATGAAGATGCTCATGATAACAGGAGTAAAATTAAACAGTGAAGTATCTCACTGACAACTTCTCAGCTCCAAGATAAAGAACAGAGAAACCATAAAAAAAAAAACAAACCCCAAACATACTTTGCCTGAACTAGAGGTTATAGACCAAGATAAAGTTTTAACATCTCTATTAGAAGTTCACAGCTTGACAGGATGAGCACACATGGATCATGGCCTGCCATTTGAATTCAGTGTTTCAGAACAATTCATTTTCCTAAAGGCTCCTTGGTAACCAGCTACAGACCAGGCAAGTTGTTTGAATTACAATAACCTGAATCCATATTTTTCTGGGATCCTGTTGCTCTTGCCTTATTTAAGTGACAAATTTTGCTAGGATAAGAAACCACAGGGTGGCAGACAGGAGTGTGCTAATGACAACAGCCACTTCACATGTTACCTCCTGTTGAGATTTTACACAGACCTAGGAAAGAAGCAGTTTAAAGGCTGCACAAGTTGTTTTAGTAACAACTGCTGTTCACTCCTCTTAAGAAAGGAAAAGCGTGTGGACAAGACATAGCATATATGTTGGTCTTGGTGATATAGAACAAACCTACTGTGCATAAACAAATCATTGGGACAGTGGGTGAACAGGTCTGGCCACCTGCCCTGCAAGCAGTTTTGGCACACAATTCCTTGCCCCTGGAAGCAGCCAGAGTCAGCATCACTACAATGGATTACAAAGTACCCAGCTACCTGAAATCACAGACACAGTGCACTGCCTTGATTCCTACCATTTCAGTCAAACTACCTCATTCCCCATACATAAAAACAACTTTGGAACAAGTCTGGACTGCAACAAAATATTCTCATGTTGTAAGTGTCCCTGTTGTGCAAATGTGTTAACTAACTAAACAGTGCTTTGAAAGCCTGGTGAGGATCACAAACACAGGCATGCAGAACTCAAGTCACTCAGATACTCTACATGAGCTAACATGATAGTCAAACAAGCCACGCGCTTTGGTTTTATACCTGTTCACTTGTTGCAGGCAAAGATCCAAACTCTTTAATGTATTTGTCAGTTTCTTTGGCAAGCTGGTTGGTGTATTGCTGCTTCTGTTGCCTAAAACCAAATGCAAAGTTTCATTAGAGACCATTGGGTTACTTTGTTTGAATTTCACTGACTCTCAGAAAAGCAGCAGTACTGAATGTTTCTCTAAAGTGCAGAAAGACATTTTTATTCTGTTCTTCACTGTAAAGGTGTGACAGTATGGATTCCAGGTGGGAGCGATGCTGAAAAAGGTTTGTTCCTCAGTGACAGCATCATAACTCACCCTCCCCTTTTTTTGGAGGGAGGGGGAAAGAGGGGGTGGGGTGTTTCTTCTATTTTCCTAATGTGCAGCAGTTGGTTTCTAGTTATTATTAATATTCTAAACATGGTTTTTACAGCCATTTTGAGGCTATCAGTAGTTGGAAACACCTGGTCATTTACAAGTTCAGAATAACTGTAGAAAAGACCAAGTTTTTTCTGTGTGGAAGAACATACTGTGGCTTGTATATAATTATGATATCGCAGTTCATGAAAGGTCAGTTCCTGCTAGTTACTAGGAAGCTTATCCAGAGAGATCTATATTCTCCCATGAAACAACAGCTGTGAACTTAGCTGAAAAAATCATTATTTACTAATAGCTGTAATTGTGCTCAAAAAAAAGCGCCTTGTCTTCAACAGTATTGCTTTTTTTTTGTCTCTTTGCTTCTGATATTATCACTCACTCCTTTACTACATTTTTCCTAATCTTCATACTTTTTTCCTGGAACAACTTAAAATTCTTTACTTGCTTTTGCCTCCTCTTCCCCAGTTTCTTCTAAAAGTTTCATCTGGAAAGCGATTAGCAAACAATCAACTTAATGTTGACTGTTATTCTGTATGTGTTTTTACAGGGATATTTAAAATAATCAAATAACTCTTCAGATACATACCAACATGAAAGGAAGGGCTAAATATTTTGACAAGTGAAAAAGGGACAGATGAAGGAGGTTGCCCTTCCTAGGTTGCCCAAGGAAGTTGTAGATGCCCTCTTCCTGGAAGTGTTTAAGGCCAGGCTGGATGAGGCTTTGAGCAACTTGGTCTATTGGAAGGTGTCCCTGCTGATGGCAGGGGGGTTGGAACTAGATGATCTTTAAGGTCCCTTCCAATCCATACCATTCTATATGTCTATGAAAACTCAAGGAAGCTTACCATGTATATAACCTCCATACAGGGACTGGAATGTGTCCTTCACAACAGTTTCTATCCTGTTTAGTTGTGAATTTATGCCTAGATCCTGTCTGGTTATTGCATAAACTGTGTATGTTGATCTTCACCTATTCATAGTCACCAGTAGGACATCCACTGTGGATGGTATCTGGCTAATCCTATGGGCCCTGAATTTGGGCTATTACGAAGCAATTTGGCTGTTCACACAAAATGAATTTGATGCCTTTGGTCCAACACACATCTCCTGCTAGTATTCAATGGCCACAGTGCGGCATTAACCAGCCTGAAGACTGCCAACCTTCTCACCCACAGGGTTAGTGCAACGCGGCGCTCACCTGCATTTATGACGCCGAGATTAATGTGGGAAAGGAGTTCAGTGGAAAAAATCATATTGGTTCATTAGACTGTGCAGAGAAGTGGAGAGCAGCTGACTGTCTCTGCTAGTGGCATATGAATGAAAGTCCATCTTCAAGGGACTGAACATCACAGCATCTGCCTCGGAGCCTTGCTTCACTTCTGCTATTTTAGTATTTCTGGTACATGTTTATTCTATAATGTCACCCCTTATTGTAGCTTTCAGCACTAAGACAACATTCCCCTCTTTTCCCCAGTACCATATCTCACAAAAAACCTCACTATATTCATTACCTTGTGAAACTTACACAGACCGATTTGAAGAGTTGACTGGAGTGGAGGGGTGTGGGCATTTGTTTTTGAAACAGTAATATTGCTTTCTGGTCCTGCCACTTTCCCTTTGCTGACATACAGCACAGCTTTTACAGATGTACTGATACTGTAGGCAATGTACATGGCCAAACCAGCTGACTCTATTTTACAGACTATCCAAGATTAATTTTTAAAAGCACATCTCAACATTTAAATTTTAAGTCTTTCTCTATACTTGCCTTTCTCAGTGAGATCAAGCAGCCTGCCTAACAAAAAAACACCTCGGTACCTAAGAGGAGATTGTTTACAATGCAAAGAAATTAAATGTTTTCATGTACTCACAGCTGTTGCCTCAACTCATGTGTGTCTTGTGGTGTTCCAAGCTGGTGTAGTATTCTTTGTATTTCGGCAGCTGTTTGTGAAGAGGAAGAGAAATTTTAATGGGGCACAAACAATTCCCACTTAATTTTATGCATTTTTGCTTGACACTTCTAAAGCCATAAAAATTGACAGAAACTGATACTCAAGACTTTTTCAACCTACTACAAAGACTCCACTTAAGAAATCTCGGAACAACTAGTGAATGGTTTTTGCCAAGTCTAATAAGACAAAGCTCAGGGTTTCTTATAAAGGATGGGAAAGCATTCAAGTGTCGAGGTAGAAACAGGCAATTTAAAGATCACATAATAGTTTCATTAAGTATAAATTGGGCTTTTTAATATTAATTTTTAAAATAAGCAGGATAATTCTTATTCTGGTTTCATCAGATTTCATGCACGTCATTTTGGAAAGCCATATGAATGATTGCCATGACATTATTGTACACAAATATTTAAGAACCACTGCATTAATGCATTAATGAAGAAACAGCAACAAAGAATTCATGGGCTTACAGTACATTAGAAAAAAAAAAATAGGTCAAGTGACCACGTTTATTTTATAATTTTGAGATCCTTACATTTTTAAATGTGGGATTAAAACCACCAGTGATTTTTAAGTGTAGTTGAAAAATATACTTGTTTTGAACTGCATGAAGTGATGCATCATTTGAGCCCTATTTTTATCTTAATATATTTTACTGTTACATGAGAAAGCAAGGAAAAAAACGGACATACACTGCAGAATGAATATCCCTGATGTGCTTTTATCTCAGCTTAACACCCTTGTATCTTCTAAAACTTCTTTTTGCTCAACCTCAGCTAGAAGCAGACTTGTCTTTCCTGTATGTCTGTGGCCCTCTCCAGGCAAACTGGTGTACAACACAGTCAGTAGAAAATATGACAGTACGATAGTACGTGGGATCCTTCCTCCCTTTACTAGCATGCTATCTTTTTTTTTTTCCCCATATACAATTAAAATTGCAGTAAAAAGCATCTCTAAGTAATGAAAAAACCCCATAAAAATTAAGATATTTTTCCATATACCATGGAAGAGTGCTGTGAGATAGAACAAGAAGAAAGTTACCAGTGACTTATGTCAAGCAGTTATTAATTAATTGCAGTTATAAACCAGCAATTCCTTATAATATTTTTCATAATAATATTAATTCTAATCTTTGTTTCACAACAAGTCTCCAGTCAATTAGATAATACTGAATTTTCTACACTGCTTTACATAACGTCCAGATGTCAACAATTGCTACAGCCATTCCTTCTGTACACACCCAGGTAATGAAGATATTAAAAAAAAAAAACCCAACAATTTGTAAGTTAGTACCTAAGTTTTGCATGAGGTAAAAATCAAATACTTCAAGTCTTTGGGGGAATTGATTGGATATAGGTTACTAGAAGAATTACTGAATGGAACAGCACTGTAAGATGGGTTTCATGCAGCTTGTATTGTAATTGAGCTGAAAAGCAGCAAAACATAAGTGAAGATATCTGAATGCTGTCTACAGCCACCACTTGCTGCCCAGCGCCAGCCCTTCCCTGCTGGGTGGAGGTCTCCCACCTGCTGGGGCCAGGAGACCCAACCTGACGCTCCTCAGCAGCTGGACCCAGCCTGGCCACGCACTCCTGGCCACACAGACCCACAAACACCGACTCTGGGTAATTAAACCTTCTTTTTATGTTTGGTATTATGCATTGTTTTAAAACAGAGAGGCCACTGTCTGGTGTTATCTTCTGAATTCAACAGTGTGAAGGTTTAATATCTACTGAACTGAATACAAATTATCCTAAAGTTTTGTTTGTTCAAAGACATGCTCCCCTCTGATTCAAGAGCCAAGGTGCTCAGTTATTCTGGATGTGTATTTACAGGGAGAAGAAAGACAAAAATCCAAACCAAATGGCAAGCACTTTGTTAACAGCTGTTTTGCAGACAGAAAAAGTACCGGTGTGTCTGACCGCCACCTACAGATCCATTTTTTAACTGCAAACAAAGAAAACAGGTTTGTGTTTTAAATAAAGTCTGTCAGTCAAAAAATTCTCTGAAACGAAGCCTCTACTTAAAATACTTGCATTCCAAGTTAATTAGATATTTATCCTACTTCTAAAACTGAACAGAAATAGAAAATTGAGGGGAAATTAAATGCCAGCACCGTGTAGCTGCTCAGCTATACAATTCCAGGTTCAGATCTTGTGATTCAAGAATTCAGTACAAAATTAAAACACATTTTACAAAGAAATCTGTAAGTATGCATCAAAACAGCAAAGTTCTAACAGGCTTTCAAATCTCAAGGAGAAAAAATAAAATAAATTCAAGAAAAAAAACTAAGGACTGAACTGAAAACAGTTTTTCTAGGTTTCCTGTAATTTAGCATTTTCCACTTTAACCTTTCACAATAAGGATATTATTCAGAAAAAAACCAGCATTTCTCTTTTCCATTTTTTGTTCATATGAAGTATACCACATTGAAAAGTGAAACATGGCTCATTCAAATAAGCAAACAGAAAAAAGGTGGAGTAGTAAAAGTAAATTTTGGCCAGTCTTCAGCAGCACTCCTGAAGCTGTCTTCAGAATAAAGGCAAAAGTAAGTTGATAGGACCAGTACAACACAGGAAGCAGAGAAGCTGCCCTTCCTGAAATATTGATTTACAGTACCCACCTGAGTTAAAGAAATCTATCCTTTGTACTCCCCCATATTAATATAAACATGTTGGAGTATATGCAGGCTGAGAAATATATTTCTTTATAGTCTTATAATTCTTCTAGTTGGGTTTGGGTTTTTTTAATCAGATTTCTTGCTGTAGCTACAACTCATTTGGACATTTGATATAATATTATACATATAATCATAAAACCACCTAAACCACAGCCATTTGTCCAGACTCATTAACTCGTCCAGCTTTACTGATAAAAACAAGACTTAAAATAGACTTTAAGACATTACAACCTGAATCACATAGGTAAAGTAAGATCTTGTTCCCTCACATGTACACACAGACATCTTACAGAATTTGATTCAATGCAAGAACTGGCTTTGAAATATCTTAGATGAAAGTCAATATCCCTTCCTTTCCTCAGTGGAAAAGCAGGGCAGCCTTAGCCTCTCCTCCTGAAGGTTAGACTGTAGGAACACCTCTGCTGGCTCCTTCCACTGCCCCATTTGGGAAGCAAGTGTGGAGAGGGTCTGAGCACTGAAGAGGGAGAGCAAAACTGCTGGGATTACCTTTCATAAAACAGAGGCCCCTAAGCTCCTGGCCTCACTGCTGGCAGTGGTATTTATAATGGTACTTCCTCCCTCGTTTAACCAGCTTTTCACCCCTGTGCAGGAAGTTCAGTCTGGCACATCAAGGCACCTGACAGCTGCTTTGGTGTCTCTCAATCCAACAGTAATCTCAAGCATGCCAGAGAGCCAAGCACTTGGGCCCAACTCACAAAGTCCTAGCTCTGCACTATAAACATACTGGTAACAGGCAGGGAACAAAGATCAGAGCGCAGTTTTGATGGGTTCCTAGGTTACACCCTTTATGGTTTTCCTTTCCCCACTTTCTGATTCTTCCAGCTTCCCAAGAAGCTCTGAAAGACAGGGGTAATACGACTATCAGAGGTCCCTCCTGTCCTTCTGGACATTACCAATCCTGTAACAGAGCCTGACTGGATCTTGTGCATGATTTTAATCTATTTCAGTGCAAAGTCTGACGCTTTAGCTCAGGTTCCTTGGGTACGTACAGCTAGCTGCTGGACTTTGCTCAGGAGCTGCAGAAGGGCACACGTCATGTGCACGCAGGCGTTCTTCACCAAAGTCACCAGGATATGGCAACAGCCTCCGTCTGAGGTGCACTGACTCCTGCAGCCACTTCTACACTGAAGAACAGGTAGATGTTTGCATACAATGAAGATGAACAGCTCTTAGGGCTCATGCTGCAACCCTGCAGGAGCAGAACTTTGCCAGCTGTGAGCTGCCAGTGAGCCATTGCAGAACACAAGTCCCTCTTGAGAACTGGGCGATGCAGGAAGCGGGGTGCACAACACCACACAAGCAAAGGGCATTTCCTCCACGCAGCTGCTGTCTCACATGCAAAAGAAAAGAATTTCACTTTTTCCACTTGAAAATGAGTCTTGTATTAGAAAGAAGCAATACCGTACCAGAAAGAAGACTTTTCACTTGTCTTTGCAGCATTCCTGATCTAGATCTCATGACACGTAACTATGAGCTGATGAAAGCTACTCAGCTACGCTCAGACCAGTCACATGCTCAGAAACAGGTCAGACACAGTTAATGATGAGCCAGAGAAACAATTAAGACCTAATCTGAATTCCTACAGAGAAAATTATTTAAAAGTCAGCTCATGTTTACTTTTACTAAGCCAAACAGTGGTTCCATTTCCAGTCAGTGGAAGCTCCCCCCTCTAGTTAAAGAGAACACAAAAAAGTGCACAGAGAAAAATAGTAATAGTGTCTCATATAAAAGGCCTCATTTTCTCTACATGAATTACAGGAGTAGTGAGATTTACAGTGGAAATATTTACATTTTTTAACAGGTAGGAGTTTTTGAGGAACATCTTCTTGTCAGATCTGCAATACATATTATTTTTTCCATAGAAAAAATGTATTTCACATATTGGATCACACACACTATCCTTGCTTAACAGCTGGCTTTTAGCTGGCTGGGAAAGAAGAAAATTTCATCTCCTTTCTCCTCATCTTCCCTTATTTTTCAGCTGCCTCTGCAAAGCTGTTTCATTACCACAAGTAAATCCAAGCTGATGTAACTGCTGTTTCTGCTCCTTGCAAATGAACATGTTTAAGATCACACAGGAAGTTTCAAACTTAAAATAAAGATACAAATAAATAAATTAATACAATGAAGACCAAAACATAAACAACTTCTTGGAGCAAACAAAGCCATCTGCAACTTAGAATTAGTAATGACTGCACAAGCTGTAACACCATAGTATTGTTGCAGAAGAAAAGGTAAAAAAAACCCCAAACCCTCGAGTAAAATCCTAATGTCTGAAAGGTAAAGAG